AAAAATATCAACCATTATTACCAACAACAACAATTGAAAGTGTGATTAAAGAACGAAAATTGTCTAATGAAAATAGTCGTAATCAAGATGCGGTTGAACGTGTCAATCAAATATTTAAACAGTTATGTTTACCAGATCGAAGATAATATTTTCTTTTTCACAACTGTTTTTCTAGATATTATTTGCTCAAAGAGTAATGTTAGTTTTTATACGCGTTTATTTTTATAAAATCCTGTCCAGTATGGCATCGTTTACTTTCAATCACATTTTAGTAGCTAATAATTTAACTTCAAATGATCTTGTCTATTCTTAAATATTTATCAGCTAAACGATTTCTATCCTAATATTCCTATACTGTAGTGTCACCGACAAGTCATCGAATTAAGACCTAGAGAAAAAATATGTCTGAAAAAAGCGCTCACAAGTGTCCCATTACTTGAAGAGAAATGATTTTTCTTTTTTCTTTTGAATATTTATATGACTCTTCAGCTGAAACATTTCAGAATGTGTTTTGCATGTCTTCAAGTAGGTTTATTCTTAGTTTGTCCCAAATTGACTTCTCTAATCGTCCCATATTAGTTTACACTTAATTATCTTTAATATAATTGTTCGTACCTCTTGCGTACGGTGGTAAATATGACTGTTGTGGGTATACAAACAGTTATATTGGTATTGGATTCTCAAGGATTGCTAACCATGGCCTTGCTGGTGATTATAGAACAAACTGGAATCCTGAAATTTTTGTCTTTGAATCTCAGAGAATAAAAAAGAGAGACAAAAGAGAGTTTACTTATGGATATGTACAGTAATATGAAAATTAAGATATATTCTCTAAAGGTGATATCCATTATGATTCAAAGCTGGTTTGTCTTTTTCAGTAGACGTGAAAATTAACATTTTGATGAATAAGACAGTTTAACTTATTCAGATTTAAATTTCTGATAGTAGTGGCTAATACAGTCTATTTTGCTCTGCAGTCGCACCTAGTATTATCTACACTACCCATCGTCGTCGAATAAACTGTTCGACGGTACAACACTTTGTTTATTTTTAGGCGCGAGCATAGATAAAGGGGATGAATTGAGAGAGAAGTGTTGATGTGGTGAACTGAAAAACAAATTTTGGGACAAACTGAGAAAAAAAGCTTCATGGAACGAATTGAGAAGTCAATTTGGGACGAACTGAAAGGACACCATTATGTATATGAAGCACATGTACGAGGTAAACTTATTGGAATTTTTAAAAGATATGATCATGAGTAATGATACTGAATGAGACCAAGTCCGAATATTTCATGTAGTATCAACTGTATAATATGCAGAAGCATGTTTTTTTAATTATATTTGACCCCTATCTCGATAAGAAAGAAAAGACGTAAAAATATTTCTTCTCTAAACTGGCACAATGACACTTTTTCTGACTCAGAATTGAATACTGATCACGAAAATCGCATTCACAGTTCATCAAAATGCTTCCCTGTGAAACGGCGGCCGAAACAAAAATGGGTCCAACACCGGTTTTTTCTCAGGTTTGTGAATGCAATTTTCGTGATCAGTATTCAGTTCTGAGTCAGAAAAAGTGTCATTGTGCCAGTGTAGAGAAGAAATATTTTTCAACGTCCCTGAGAGGAACCTGTGCCCTAAAATTTTCCGAAAAAATTTTTTTCGCGAATTTGAACGATCTGAGAATATAGTTTTACTGTGAATTCGACACTGATTCCGAATATGTACATGGACTGGGATAATTATAGTCACACTGCTATTTTTCATGGTTAATTATAACCAGTAATTTATCTAGTGTGTAGGCCGGATGGGCGGTGCCCACCCGAATTTTTGCTTCACCCTTCCGAAAATAAATAGGTGATTTTATTTTAACAAAAGTTTTTTAGCCAATAGCCCCTCCCAAAATTTTGGTATGAAAATCGGTCTTTGGAAACCTATGGAAACATTTTTCCCTTTATTTCTTGTGATTTGCACGGAGTGGTTATAATTACCCCATTTGGGATAATTATAACCATTTAAGAGTAATGCACTAGAAATTTAATGGCACTAATTAACGGTAATGAATTTTCAGACAATTTTTCCATTAGTGCATAGCTGAAAGTCATATGTATCTACCTGTGTAGGTTTGCCGGATAGCTAACTGAATCCATATAAATACGTTGATCTTTTAAAATTCGTTCAACTTCAGAATATTGTCTTAAATCAACCCGAACTCTTGTTGTAGGTTCACCATTATTATTATAGATACGTGTTATTTGTGCCACAGATTGATATCGAACTACAAGCAATTCATGCATTTCTGTTGTATCCCATGATGCTGGTACACCAGTCATGATAATTGATTGACAGGTGGGGATTCGATTTGGAAGAGTAATTGTAAATGATGATCCACTAATTTGTTTTGATAGACTTCCATGTATAAATAATTGTTGATATGTGTAGGGATTATTGGCGAATATCAGCAATTCATGTGTATGATAAAGTAATGTAGAATATCGAATAAAATTTATACTTAGTCTAGTATTAAATTTGATAATTTCATTTAGAACGTTTGGTTCTGATGGTTTTACTGTATTTTCGAACTTAATTTTGATTGGAGGAAATAAACGTTTTTGTGATGCGTTTAGATTTCTATTCCTCTTGTCAGTCTAAGGACGGCTTGTATTATTATTTAATTTTGAACCGATCGAGTGAGTTTTTTGTTATAACTACTGTCTCTTGCAGATATAATAAAAGTACAACAAAAAGTTGGCATTTTCTCTAGCACACACATCAACATAATTTTCGAAATAAAGGACCACAGTCGATACACATGTTATTCCAGATCTCATTTTTATTTAAATAAGGGCATTTAAATAATTACAACTTGCCATTACCTTACATGAATAGTAAAAAATCTTCGAACCATTATATTATAGCCTTTATTGAATATAAGCGGATATGAGCAAGCAAGATCTTTACAAAATATGTGTATGAATAGAGAGAAGCTGGGAAAATAAAGAAGCTTTGTAGTTGACAAGGCTGTGATATCAATCAATTCTTGACAAGATTATGAGATCTTGCCTGTTGTGTTGTTATAAGCAGGAGAATTGATTTAGTGTATAAATGTAAATTTTCTGTTTATTTTATAAAAGTTAATTTCTCACGACATTTTCTCTGTTTAATTTTTGTTGACGAAGTCATACACTTGACGAAGTAACCATCCATCGATCAATTGAGTTCACCCAAAATAACTCGATGGCTGATCATTGTTAGTATTGTGTTTTGGTCAATATTCGGCGTGCATTCAGCCACCGGATTTGAGAGTCTTGCGTACGGCTGTGCACTACCACCGGCTTCCATCTATTTACTCTTCTATTCAATATATGGTATTATTGTGTCGCTCTTACCTATAATCATCATGAGTATATTCAGTGTCCTTACTCTACGCAATGTACGCTCATCTATTAGGCGTCAGATTCATCCTGTGCACATAAATCTTACTTCTATTCTCAAACCACCATTGGCTGCCAGCTCGCTTGTTCAAGCTCCTCCGCGACGAC